TTTCAGAGATCAGATGTCTGTTACATGACTCTCTTCTCAACTTCGCACAGGGAGTCTGGCAGCGCTAGAAATGGAATTTAAGTTTCTTTGTCTTAACCACAGTATCTTTGCTGATCTGCTGCTACGCATGGTTAGGCAGGCTAGATATAAATACAAGGGAACTGATTAAATAATATGTATACAAAGGAATGCCTGCCTTCGCTGTTGAAGAGCAAGATTTTATCAAAAAGTGCTCTTCATTGTGGCCATGATGTACTGTGGAACATTATCAATATTACTAAAGTAGTTGTTTCGTTTCTGATGTCAGCACTGATCACATGATTTATTTCCAAGGTAGCAGCAGACCCGAAATAATGGCACTAATGTCGATATATTTTGGAAATTATTTTTGAAGGAATCTGCACCTGCAGTCGTCATGAAATGCCGACAAGTGAAATGCAATATTTCTCCTTTGCCTAAAAAAAAAGCTTAATGGGCCATCAGTGATTCATTGTTAGCAGCTTTTGATGAGGGTCCAACTGTCCAAGTACTGCATTTAGAATTAAGCCTCTTGGTTCTTTTTATTACCTGAGCTTTAGCATGTGCAATAAGCATCAGCAGCTTTCTTCAGCAGCTAGGTCTTCAAGATTCAAGCCAGAAACTTGATGATTTGTTAATTGAAATTTAACTTTTTCTTGGGTTTTAAGAATTACTCTTTGAAGAATTATTTTTTAGTTTATTTTGTAAATAAGAAAGTTTTCTATTATCTGTCTCTTCAAGATGTTGTTGCATGGGAGCTGAAAGAGGGAAAGAGAAAAATATTGACATTAGTAACACTGATCAATTGATAATCTTATCACATGCCAGCGTGTGAGCAAAGAAACAGTGAATCTTCTGAAGCCATGATAGGAGCGTCATTTGCTGTTGCAGGCAGGCAGTCATGCAAACTCTTAAAGATTACCCGTGTATTTCAAATTGAAATTTAGTCTGATAGGAAATTGTTCTGACTTGTTGGAAAGGATGAAGGTTTCAAATGATCAGCACTTGATGTGTGTGTGAAGGCCAGTGCTGCTAATATAAACTTCATTGGTGTGAAACCTGTGACGCTTTGGTCTTTGCAGTCTTTTGACACCTGTTTGTCATGATCTCCTCTTTCATTTCAGCAATAGTTTAATACAGGTGCGGAGGCACATGAATTTTGTGACCAGGCACATGAAATTAGACCAGGTACCTGGTCTAAATGGTAGGCACTGTTTTTGTATGTTTTTCCTGTCCAGTCTTTTATTTAAGCTAGTGTTTCATTGATGTTCGATAATTTTAAGAAGACTTTTTTTGCATACAGAAACTCGCTTTGAGAATCATCTGGAGAAAGCAACTATCATGCAACCAATGGGCTATTGTTGTACTAGGTGCTAAGGACATAGCTCAGGTATGTTCCACAAAGTGCCAGCAAGTAAAGGCTAGAGTATACGGAATATCTTCCTAGGCTGTTAACACGCTTTTGGACCATCTTGGGCAAGTGGTTTTCTGCAGTGTGCTTCTCAAGTACTTAGAGCTACTGGGGCTAGTGTATTTGGTAACTTTCTCAAATGCCTCTGGATTTAATTGTTTGAATAGGTTTTGTGTGCATGGACATTTTGCATTTATGGTACATGACCCAAATAACAGTCTAATAGTCTTGTCTTATTGACACTCAATCCAAAGCAGGCTTCTTAGTTTATTAAGACAGTCCTGGTATAAGAAGCAGGAGATTAAACTATCCTTAAGAAGAAATTACCGGTATTTATTGATGATTGTTACTTCTTAAATTATTTTTTCTTAATAATACTTCTCAAATCTTTTATTGTTAATTGGTCATTTTTCTTTTGTATTATGATGATTTCTGTGCCAAGGCCAAACCATTTTGCTGTGGTTCTTCTGTAATGCTCAGACATGGTCTGCACTCGAACAGTGGAAAAGCAGCTGCACTAGCATTATTTTTAATTTTGGAGGTCAGCATGGGGGGAACTGAAATATGCTCTGCAGACTTTGGGTTTCTTTCTCTCTCTCTCTCTCTCTCTCTCTCTCTCTCTCTCTCTCTCTCTCTCTTTTTTTTTTTTTTCTCTTCTTTTCAGTTTTTGGTTACTTTGCTTTGCACCGGAAACTCTGAATAGGTATATTTGTCAGCTTTTACAGTAAATTTCTCCTTCCCCATCCCCCAAACCTGGAGCCTGAAACTGCCATGCTTCCCCACCCTGACTCTGCAAGGATGCCCTGTGAGAATGGTGTGAAGGCTCACAATTGTGCTTATTGTGCAATCTATAGCAGCGCTCATATTTACTTTGGCGGAACTGATGTTTTCACTCAGCATAAACAGCAGCAACATCTGACTCTGAAGTGCCTTCAGTAAAGTTCAAATAAATCATTTCCAAAGGTAAATAAATCTCATATAAAAGCAAAAAGGAACCTTTGTAGTACTCCTTATTTTAAGCCTCTTGTTTAGTATCTAGCTCATTTTCAGAGTTATCGGTACTGCTCGTACAAAGGTGCTGTTTAGCACCATCTTTTGTTTGCTGGAACATTCAGATAAATTAACATCAAGTAAATTTTAAAAGAAAAATATGAACTGCATTAAAGCTGCTTGTGGATTCTTGTATGTGGAATTAAGGTGGCCTTGATTCCTTTAGCAAACTGCATTTCCAAAGCCACAGGACTTATGAGAACGCAAATATTCCACTTTGAAGTCCCACAAAGAGTGTCCATAGAAAGAAGGGGGGTAGAGCAGGCAGTGGCTGAAAAATCACCTTTCTTCAGTCTAATTTAAAGTCTGTTTTAAAACACAATAGTTTCTGTATATGCACAAAAGTAGCAAATAATGAGAACGGTTGAATATATATTTGTAACAGTGTCTGGTACCAAAACTATTATTAATGACCTTTTATCTTCTCATGACTAAATGGTATGTAATGAGGCAGAAAGAATAAACTTTTAATTGCTATGGCAAAGTTGAAGAGAAGGTAGTATTTCATTCTTTAATGAAATTAAAGTGGAGATGTTTGCTCTCTTAAATGCTACTTGGAGGTCAGTTTACAATGTCTGTATTTAGACACTACTTTTTTTCCCCTCCCTAAAGGTGTAACTGAGATCTCAGTGTGGATAGAACTTCATGTAGCTGGAAGAGATGGTAAAAAGTAAAGCGAGTCATTTGGTTCTGTTGTGCGAAGTACAGAACATAAATCTGAATAAATGCTTTCTGGGTGGAATAATACTTTGAATTTAAGATTTGAGATGAATTGAACTATATTTAGCTGTAATTCATAAAGCTGAATGCCAGCTGAGATCTTGAGAAATGGAAACTTATCAGCTGGTATATTTACCAATCAAAGTGCAGTAAAATGGAGCAGGAGGCGAGTACTGCTATCAGTGGTTTTATAAATATCGGGCCTTCCTGAGCTTTGATATCTTACAGCCTTCTGCTATTAATTGCCTCCAAATACTTCTTGTAAGGTATGACTTGATATCTTTGGCATATGAACTGTGCTCCCTCTAAGCTCTCTAGTTCCAAGGCTTCATAATAAGCCTCTAACTGATTGTCACCTTTAATTTTCAAAATGGATCAGATCTTATGGATTTAAGCTGTGCGGTTAGTCATCTCTGGAAATGTTTGCAAAGCTGTGTCATATCCCAGCTGACTATCCCGGGACTAACTCCTAGCCATGCTATGGGGAGAAAACTAGAACAGAAGCATGGTTCTGGTCTATGATGGCATTTAGACACAGGTGTTTGTTCCCAAAAGCTGTGAGATATGCATACCAAACAAGTGAGGTGTGAAATGGCTTTCCAGAGGATGCTTTTCTACCTTCCATTATATTTGTAACTTTCTACTAAGTAAAGAATATAGCATATTTCTCTTGAGTATGTACTCTATTAATTTGTATATCTACCTGGACAGCATTTATGTTGTGTACTAAGTATCTACTAACCAATCTGTATTCTGTGTCTGTTAGATGCAGTCAGTCTGATTTGTCCCTCAAGTGAATGTAAATCACCGCAGTGCAAATGAACGACACTAAAGCAGTGTAAAAGCTAATGCAGATCATGTAAAGCATATGAAGTCCCAGACTAAGTAGACTAAAATAATTTCTGGCATGCTGCTTTTGCCAGACATCTGAGGAAACCAGAATTTCAGACTCGGAGATTAAGGGGGGAAAAAAATCACAATGCACTGAAGGCAGCAGAATGAAAGACATAGTTTAGAGGGTGTTTGGGGAACAACAGACTGTGTCCTTTGCTTCTGCCTGTTTTTGCTTTTTGTCTACCTAGTTGGTAAGTTTTGAAGGACTTCCTCCTTGACTTTCCTTTGGTGTATGTGCCTCACTACTGCTCTTTTCATTTTGTGTGCGTGTAAAACTCACCTGCATAGGGAGGTGGAGTTTTGTTGATAGCTGTTACATTTAGGAATAGAGGCTTATTCTGTATTGTAATAGCAGAGATCCTTTTTCCTGGTACTACATTCTCCCGGCTTTCATAAATGTCTAGACTGATATGGCTATTTATTTAACAGACTGGGTTCATTACACACTGTGCCTGATAAGGCATAGCTTCCGTGGACCATAAAAACACCTGTCAGCTTTACTGGGGAAACAGCTAGGCCTGGCTTCCAGACCGTTCCAGCTGTGGGGCCTGCCTGAGCTTTCGGGCTGTGAATTATGTACCAAAGCTCTTCACATGCACCACAAAGGGCCTCAGTCTCTCACTGTTGCTGCAGTCCTTGAACAGACAGAAGGAGCTTTAAGCTTTCTCATGGTCTGACCCGTGTGATGTTCTTGTCATCCAAGCAACGAAGGTTCAGAAGGAGCCGATGGCATGATACATCCCCTATCAGCAAAAAGACATCACTAGCTCAGGAGGAAAACATACTTGAATCTGGAAACTGGCTGTGTTGGGAGAGCAGCCTGCAAGCACAGGGGCTGCCATGGGGCTTTGGGCTCTGTGCTGACGGCAGGAAAGGAAAATAAATGTCACCTGCATCTCTTTCTCAGCTTCTTCTCCAGAACAACAGCCGCAGCCTCGCCCCTATCAAGGTGTCCGTGTCAAAGAGCCGGTGAAGGAGCTGTTGAAGAGGAAACGGGGAAATGTTCATAATGCCAATTCAACGGCTGCTACAACGGTAAGAGAAAAAACAAACACAGGCAGAAAATGCTTTCTCTCTACATGGTTGACCAGCCCTGTCACGAGCTGGCAATACCATGGCAATGTAAGGAACCTTTGCATCTCCAAAGCATTTTGGAGGCACTGGAAGCTGCTGTTACCTGAAGATACCAATAAACACTTTCTCAGTTTAGGTTGGGTGCCTTTCAGGTGCTGAGCAACTTAAATCACTGTTGACTTCCTATAAAGGCGAAAGTGCTTGTCACTTGGCAGGATCTAATATGCAGGAACAGAAAGCAGCTTGGAAGTTGAGCAGCATGTTCAAGAGCACAAAGGAAATCAGTCCATAGTTGGCTAGTTTTTAATTTCAACCTACCTCTATGTATCTTCCCAGGAGGAAATGGTTTGACTGGTTCCTCTCTGAAGAGGAACTTCTTCTATGCAATGTGCAGTGCATATTTTGTTTAAGGCCCTCTTGAGCTGATGTGGCACATGAGCTTTGGTTAAGCCCCTAGACAGGGCTGGGATTCATATGTAGTATTTTCCAGACTTGAATCTCCTGGCTCTTCTACAGAGGTACAGAGGTAGCTAGGGAAACTTCGGGTACTGGCATGAAAACATATTCAGTGGATAACAGTTGTATTAGCTGTATTCGTCTCAAAGGGGATTGGTCTTGCAGCCTTATTCTTACATGTTTTTGTTCTCTTTTCCAGGTTGTTTTACCTCATCAGCCACTTCCTTCATATTCAACAATGGGTAACATTTCCCTGCCTTTCTAAGTATCTATCCTTCCCGCAGCAGGGAGGACTCTAACTGAGCTGGACTTTGATCATCTTCTGTTTTCCAGGCCAGCCTTGCGTTGATATGGATGTTGCTGCCTCTTCATTGCCTGTCACAGATGAAGGAGGGCTATGTTCTGGTTGGCTCACCCAGCCCTCTCCCACATCCTTACAGCCTTTAACTCAGTGGACCACGTATCCCGATTATGTGTCCCATGAAGCAGTCAGTTGTCCATACACAGCAGATATGTATGTTCAGCCTATGTGTCCCAGCTACACGCTTGTTGGACCTTCGTCTGTTCTTACTTATGCTTCCCAACCACTGATCACCAATTTTGCAGTAAGTCAAAATACCAATGTTAAAGGTAAAGGCAAAATTCCCGCATTCCGAGAAGAATCATAGCGAGTTTAGGATTTAATCAAGGTGTTTTACTTAATTGTGTGGCTTTGCATCTATGCCCTTATAGTTGGTCTAGCATCGACCCTGTCTACTCTGCTGGCAATTGGTGTTGTTTGAGATTGACAAAAAAGAGGCAGTTGCATTGATTTTTGCAATTTGCAAAATATGCAAACATTTTACTTCCATTTTCCCAATTCTCCCCACCTTTCATCACTTTTCACATTATTAACAGCCAGATTATTTTTGCTGCTGTCCTGGGATATGACTCATCTTTCACTGAAGTCAGCAGCTGGGTTACCAGTGTCCTGAGTTTGATCAAGGCTGTGACAGACATTAATTATAGGAGAATATTGTTTGAAAGTTTGAGAATAGTAGTAAGGAACATTATGTTAACTGTTGTCATCACTTTCAACTTGCTGAAATGTTCTGCAGCTTTGATTTGCAGTCTTTCAGAAAGTAATTTTTTGTGTGATAGATTCCCAGAGTACTGTACAGCCAATAAATACTATTGTATAGGCAAGTAACAAGGGCATAGTCATTCCTGAGATTCTGGGCCAGCCTCCAAGGATACTTCACCTTTTAACTCTGAGAATATACACACACACACACACTATATATATATTTTTTCAAGTTAAAAAAAAAAATCCACTGGGTGGAGCTGGAAAATTCTCAAAAAAAAAAAAAAAAAAAAAAAAAAAAAAAAAGAATGGGGCTGGAACAGCACCTATACATAGCAGAAGATTTTCAGGCTCCACAAAATTCATTCAGCTGATCTAAGGCAACTTGCCCTTCTTTGGGAGTTTCAGTCAAACCCTAGCAACTTCTTTTCCTTTGAATGTTTCAGTTGGGCTGCTGAAATGCACAGAATCAGCCAGCAACCTTCACCGCTAAGGAAGTACAGCCATTTCAAATGTGGCTCTGTGGTAGCTGTCAGGGGCTGCTCAGGATAGACCCTCATGGAGGCCAAAATTTAACTGTCTTCAGCCTTGTGGCGCCTAAGTTGCACCTTGAACTCAAGGAGTTCATGTTACAGAAGAGAGACTGTGAAGGAGGGCAGTTTTCAGCACAGGGTGTAACTGTCTCATGGGCTTACAGTGAGGGTTGGAGTGGGAACAGAAAGCTAGCAGGAACTTGTCGTGAGTGCAAATTACTGTGTGCAAGCACCTGGGACAGCCTCTACTCTCGAGGGCGGAGGGGGGACAGCGTGGGAAAAATGTCACAGTGAGCATAAAGCTTTAGCCTGAGACAGGAAAAAGGGATGTTCAAAGTGAGACTGAGCATCCTTAATCTGTTGCTTTGGCGTTGTTACCCTCCCCACACACACCCTCCGCACCTCTTTACCTGGCCACTTATTTTCTTTTTTTCATACTTTACCAGCCCAGAAGCACCACCCCAGCAGTCGTGCCTCAGCTGGAGGATCAGCAGGCCCCCCTCACGTATTTCCCGTGGGCACAGTCCCTCTCTGCACTGCCAGCCTCCACCTTGCAGTACCAGCCAGCTTCCTCCACCCTGCCGGGGCCACAGTTTGTGCCCTTGCCAATCTCCATTCCCGAGCCACCTCCCCAGGAGCTCGAAGATGCCAGGCGAGTCATTGGCACACTACCCATTGAGAAGCTGCTTCTGGAAGATGAGGACAATGATACGTATGTGTTAAATCACACTCTCTCTGTTGAAGGGCTTTAAGTTGCCCATCTAGGGCCTGATCCTTGCTTACTCAATACTTGACTTGCCCCACAGTGAGTTTTGAGTAAGAAAAGGAAAAGCAGGCTGAGGGGTGGGGGTGGGGACTTTGTTTGATGCTGTGTTGTCCACTTCTAGTGCACCAATTTGTGTGTTGTGTGAAAAACGCTTTGTCCTGGGACTCAGCACGGGATTGTTGGGCTATTACAGTTTCTGTTAACTCTCTCAGGCAGGTTCTTAATGCTGCCCAATTTGGGCTCAGCCTCAACACAAGGTGACTCATGCTTACTCAGAGCATGGTCTCAAATTGATATACTGCAGTTGTAGCCACTTCTAACCTCGCATTTGGTGAGGGTACGCTTGCCTCTAAACGTTGGCAAGAGATGGTTCAATAGGACTATCTTCTAGAGCTCTGTGTAGGAATCTTTCCATGCAGAAATCTTTGCCAGGTTTAGGACCTGGAAAGTACTTTTGGGGCTAAGTGGAGATTTTTCTTTCTCTAAATTGAACAGTCTGTTTTGAAAAATAAGAAATGAAAAGTTTAGGTTTATTGTAATGTTGTAGGTGCATCAGTCTGAAGACAAGAAATCGTTGCGTTTGAACTAGTCATTAAGGTTTCCTATCTGCCGAGCAGCGCAGAATGGCCTGGATGAAGTCTTTGCTTTCACTTGCAGGTCGTGTTTTCAAGGCTGTTAGGTATGTAGTTTGGAGTCACGATCTTTCAGTTGCAGGATGCTTTTGGACTCAAAAATATCCACCTTAAAGATACAGAGGGCCTGTTTTTGAGGCTAGCTGGTAATTGAAAGCTAGCTGTGTGTTCTACCGGTGGACAGATCCTGCTCTCACTGGAGTTACAGGGAGTTTTGCCTGAGTCAGGGTTCCAAGACATGGCCCCATATCAGGAGCTCCATGAGAAGATAGAGCCTTCCAAAATCTGGACTTCAGTCTAACAAGGAGTTCATGGCATTACTTATTATTAGCTGACAATACTTCTGTTTGCTCTCTAACATTTGAGCATGAATTTGGCAGCAAAGACAGACAACCCTAGTGACCTCTTGTGTGCCATCCTGCTATGGAAAGTTTCTGTGCTTTAGTCTCCCAGGTGCATGCATTCTCTTTATAGCTTTCTGATTTTGTTTTGTAGTGAATGAGTAGCTTTACTGTTTCCTCTGATGCGACTGTAAATATTATTGTTGATGTTCATGACTGCCAAGCCAGAGGCAAAAATATTTGCAGGAGATGTATCCACCTCTGAGTTTCTTTACTGTTTTCTTAACAAATAAGGGCCTCCTGGCCAATGAACATAATTTCTCTGGGTTTTTCTGCTTTCTAAAGCCCAGGAACCTTAGGTGATATTGTTATTTACAAGACTCTCCAGAAAATAATTTATTGCACTGTTTATTAAACCAGTGCCCAGCAGTTCAGTTGCCACCCAGGCAATACTTTTAGTGATCTTACAGTTCATGCCTGGAGGAGGTATGCAAGCTAATGTTTAAAAAAAAAAAAAAAAAAAAAAAAAAAAACTGTCAAAAAAAGAAACATTATTTAATATCAACAAATTCAGAATAGATGATAGATTGTCTAAGTGATCATAAAGTTATTTGGAAATAGCAGTATTTCAGGTGCATTGAAATTAGTGGCTTGCATTGGCAGAAAAACCCAGTAAAGAAATTAATTGAAAGGAGCTTAGTTCATCACTGTTTACTCCAGTTTTAAAAGTATTAACCATATTCACAAGATAAGACTGGAATAATGCAGTTGTGAATCAAGCCCATAGTTGCTAAGATGGCTTTTGAATTTCTTTCACTTCAATGTATGTAAAATTTGTGTATAAATATAAACCACTGATAAAATATTTCAGAATTTCTTTCTGGGTTGTTCTGGTTCGAAAAAAAGATAAAATCTTCTTCAATAAAGATCTACAGTAACTTTCATATGGCTAGAGTGTCTTATTTCCTCTCCAAAAGCGTAACAACGTTTGCTTAGCACTCAGGTCAATAGCATTTTTACGGGCTATTTACAAGCACAGATTAGCTGTTAGGCTTTCTACTGATTTTGGAAATCAAGGCAGACTAAAAAGGAACACTGTCACCTAAATATTGCCTCAGATGTTGTTTATTCACGTAGCCCTTACTTGGCAAGCACCCTGCAGCTCAGATGGCAGTCCTATCCCTGTTATCTTCTGTTAACATCCTTGGGGATATGCAGAAGAGCTACTTTTTGGCTCTTCCTGAACTTGATTGGAAATTAGACCAAACTTAAGTGGCACTTCCCCTTCTTGAAATTGTCAGGTGTGACCCTGTGCTACAAAACCACCTGGAAAAAGAAGGGGTGCCCCGTCAGCTTCTGGCCCCAAAGAATGGCATGTTAGCGCCTGACGGGACTGATGCGACTGCCTGAAAGATGGTCCCCTCCTGTGCAAAGAGGAAGCACAAATCAACTCGTGGTGTAGGGCACACCTGGTGCGTCTGGAGATGACCTGAAGGAAGAGGAGTAGTGCAGAGCTCAATGTAGTTCTCTGCAGTTCAGACACAGAGCAATGCTACTGAAATACAGCATTTTCTGCTTCTCTAAGGACCAGGGTAGCAGAAAACTGCGTGCTGACCTGGGATTGCCATGGGACATGACAGCTCTTTGTTTTATAGGCAAAATCAATGCACCTTACTGTTGGTTTAGATAACCAAGTAGAGCTGAGCATTCTCTGCAAATGCACAGTTGGAAGAGGCAGTTGGTTACTTGAAATGATGAGATATTACTTATGCCAAGCCTGTAGCACCAGGAACAAAGGAGAATCTGAAGCAATACATTAGGCCCCCATGCGAAGGTTTGTGGAGGACTTGGATACCTCTTGGCACAAGTGTGAGTCTCATCTGACAGTGTGATGAAGTGCAAAGGAGATGGGTTGTCAAAGCTCAGGAATGCTGCAGGTTCCTGAAAACAGCAATTATTCTGAGGTAGGAAGCCCTTTCCCTGGGAGTCAGTGCTTTCAATGTCAAGTTCTCCAGTGCTGATCATGTTTTTTTGTGGAACCCCAGGTATAACCCCCTCAAAGGCGCTATGCTGCCCTATAAAACTATTTGCTCCCAGAATGATTCATGGCTAAGCAATGATCGGTGTCTTTATTTACTGTCTTAGAGTTCTACATATTTATGCAGCTAAAGGTATGAGGGCGTATACATTGGCAGCTGCAGAACGAATGAAAGAGATGCAAAGACTTGATGCCAAGGAGCACAGAGGAAAGGTAATGTGGGCCACTACCTCTCACATATGGCAGCATTTGGGACGGGCATGGGCTTTGTGTGGTAGAGAGTGACTGATGCCTTCAACAGTTAGCTCAGCCTCTGTATTATCCCAGTATTGTACCTCTACTGTACAATGATACCTCTGGCTTAGGTGTCTCTGACAGGAACCTGAAGTTAGGTAGCAAGAAAATGGTCTTTTTCAGCCTGTGACTCACAGGGTGGTCTAAGACAATACTGACCTAGGAAGGCACCCTGTGTTGACGATAATCTCTTAGGCCAAAGAATTTTTGAACAACTGGTATATGCCAAGGGTGCTGCCCCTGAAATAAATGATGCTTCTGAGGTGCTGAGCTCAGGCTATTACCCACATAAGGGCTTAAGCAGAGTAAGTGGTGTTCAGTAGGAGCTGGGGAACTCGGCTCGTACTCCAGTCTCAAAGTGCCCTCAGTTGGAATCTGGGCATTCAAACTCCATCTGTGAGCTGTCCTTGGCTTCTGTGCTATGGCTTTCAGCTTTTTAGATTCTGTTCAGCACAGTCTTTCACTTTGTTTCTTACGCTGGCATCTGTCTGAAGACTCTCACGTTTTATTCACTGTGCTGCTTATTTCAGACTCCTCTGCTGGTGGCTGTCACTGCCAGGCAGCCAGCTATTGTCTACGATTTGATCCAGATGGGAGCAGATGTTAACGCTGTAGACTACAAAGGGCAATCAGCTTTACATCTCGCTGCAACGTATGGATTTGCTCAGGTTCTCCAGGTAGGAAAAGCCTTTCTGGTTCTGATTACTAACAATATAAACCTGCAATAAAGTTGTGGTATTGGTGCCTTGAAAGAACTGTTTCAAAAGGAAAGATATAATTAAATGGTGGCCAAAGTCTCTTTTTCTTTTTACATGTTAGGAACTGTCCTCCTAGGTTATTCCACTTCTAGGAGTACTTTTAGGAGCAGCCCCCAAGGCCTCTTGTTTCGGGGAAAGGGAGGAGTTCCCTGGCTGTTGGAAAAAGTACATCTTTGCTCTGTAATGTGTTAAAAATACTCTTCGCTTTAACACAGGCTTATCTCTGTGTAGACAGGGCTTACCTTTAGCTTATGTACCAGTCAGACTGTAATAGTGTTGGAGAGGAAATCAGTCTGTTAGGGAACCCACAGTGGAAATGTATCTGCAAGGCATTACATGGCACAGATATTTATACTGGAACAATGCAGGTAATTGCTTAGCTCTTGGCTGTTAAATTAGATAAATGAACGGTGCCTCCCTGGATTTGTATGAGACTTGTGGATAGGCAGCTCTGTTACAGAGAATTAGAGCAGCTGTGCTGATGAGATCTCCCTGTGGCCAGGGTCCCGAGTGCACTGCAGATGCAGCACATAGCAGTGAAAGTGCTGCAGGGTCACCAGCACGCCAGCGGTTGCTTTCCATTATTCATTAGCCCTGCTTTGCGCGTGCCCTGGGTTAAGTCATGAGCAGGCAGTTAATGTGTAACATGGTGAGTTCCTAGGAAAACAGGTGTTCATTCAGCTAAGGAAAGCGTGCCTCATTCAGATGATTCTGTCAGAACTTTCCTTAATGCCTTGTGTTGGAAATGCTTCTTTTTTAACCTAACTTAACACGGAAAAATACACATGGGCTTACTCCAGGGGTCAAAGCCGTGAGATGTTATGCTTTCTTGCTTTTATGTTTGTTGTTGCTGTTTTATGTTCTGTAATGGCCTAAACATTTAATCTCTAATCATCAGGCACCTCAAAGCTATTTGTCAATATTTGATCTGGATATATTGCATTATTGTTATGAATAGAGAGCACAAGCCCTAACGTCTCTACATAATCCTCCCGTGGAAGGATTATGTCCTGTGCCTCATCTAACTAGATATGATTCTTAATGAGTCACTGCAATGCAAAATTCTCCATTAAGATGCTGAAATGTTAGCAACTTGCTTTATTCTACCAAGAATAAAAATAAGAAGTATTATCTCTAATATTTTAGATAAGAATCTCCTTGGCTGCATCTCATCAGATAGACATTTTCTGAGGCTGAATTTTCAAACTGTTTGTGCTTTACTAAATCCAAGCTATGTGCATTTCCAGACCATGATTTTGCTTCTTTTGCAAGTTGCACGTTTTTACTGCTGTAGCCCTTGCAACAAACTATTTTATCAACCTTTCACACTACTGTGAAATACGTAAAGCCAGACCATGAATGTTTATTGTCAGACAGCTTTTATGTAATAAAGTTTTGCTGTACATGTCAGGGAGAGATTTTCATTTTTCCTTGTCGAGAGTAACATAGTAATAAGACTTCGTGCTGTGGAGATGTGTGTTTGCTTAGATCAGGGTAAGTGCAAGGAGAGTAGCCTGACCTCTAGAGTTAGGGAAAGCAATCATCCTAGATAAACCTGAATGTCACTGCTTGGGAATAGGATTCTTAGCACTAAAATCTAGTGTAAAATAGAAATTTACCTTGCAGAAAATGGTAGTTTTTCTTTCCTCTTTTTTTGACTTTTAGTTTTAATTAATTTTGACTTGGGCAATGTTCCACTCCATTGACCTAAAATTTTTCATTTGTTTTGTCAATTATAGGTTATACTGTCACTAGGTTTCCCTCTTGATTTAGAAATGAAGGATTTTGAAGGTAAGAGCTCTTGTCTGTATGAATATTTTATAGTGGCAGCAAGAAAATTAAAAAGCATATTGGCTATTTCAGGCTTTGATGCTCATTGATATTTGCTGATGGGCTGGGAGGCCAGAGTAGCTTCAGAAACTTCCCTGGGGAAATTCTTGTTGTGAACTCAAGTGTTCAGTGGTTTTTAAATGCACACACAGAACTGAAGTGCCTTGTAAAGCCGCTCATACAGCCACCAACACTGGTACCTCCAAGACCAGCTGAAGGGTCTTTGTGCCTTAAAAACACAGATACAGCCACACGCGCTCTCTCCCAAAGCTCTCCCTCCATCTCTTTGAATCCGTAACTTTGTCGGGACTGCCGTTATCTCCCGGGCTGCCTTGGTTTTCCAGGTCATACCCCACTGCACTGTGCCGTCCTGGCCCATAACGCGCTGCTGCGGGAGCAGCGGGCTCAGGCCTCCATGGTGGAGCAGCGGCAGAAGAATTTTCAGCACCAGAGCGAAGAGCTGGAGTCCTGCATCCACCTCCTGGTCCAGACAGGAGCCTCCGTCTACAGCCGGGTAAGGCATCTGTACGGCCTCTCTCTGACGCTCGTTTTCCCTGTGTTGTTTGTTCATGTGGGAAAGCTCTGCTGAGCTGTCTGATGCTTGCGCTGTGCTCAAAATAGAGAATTGAAGAAGAAATGAATGAACTGCTGACACAAGGAGCAAGCTCTTTCTTTTTCATGTGACTGGATGCAATATGAGATGAGCAGAGCTTGGGTGAGAATTTGGCTCCCAGCTCTCACCTTTTGGGAGCTGGTTTCCACAGGGAAGGTGTGAAGCAAACACTGGACAGTAATAAGGCCACCGAAGGGAGAAAGATGCTCCCACGGAGCTGCAGAGCTGGCCGAGACTTTTGTCCATTGGATTTGTATAGTGTCTTTAGGCTGCTCTGTAAAGCATTCCTTACTTTGTGTTGCTCCTCTGTTTGTAAACAGGATGTGAAAAGCAACAAGACAGTTCTTCACTATACAGTCCAAGATGGGAACATCTCTCTGCTCAGATACTTCTTGGAGCTGAACCCCTTCAAGTCCAAGGATTTTGTCAACAGCAAGGTGAGATGGGCTGTGTGTGGGCAGGACTTGTGTATAAATCCATGCATGGAGGAGGTGTAGAGGGAAGTTTGTGTGAGACCTGAACTGCAGTGGGATGCTGCATGTAGACAGGCCTGTTAGGAGATGGGAGATGTCTTTGGTCCTGCAGAAATCAAGTATCCTCTCCCCCTATACTTTTTTTTTTCCCCCCCTCTCTGGGGAGAAGAGCAGTTGATGAATTTGAATCTGATTTTCTTTGAATCTGAAACTATGCTTTCCAGTAATTAGATGCCTTACCTGAAAAGTACTGCTGGGCTTGAGCTCTGTAGTTTTATCATGAAACCTAGTCTTTCTCTTAATAGGAGATACCGGCAGGAGCGAGCAAGAAAATCAGGGAAGAGAAGGGACAAAGGAAGCAGTTACTTGAGGAGGGAACACGAACTTTACCTTAGGATGAAGACTGAGAAAACAGATCTGCAGCGATGCAATGCTTTGCTATTGACAGCAACATAATGTGGAGACGCAACAGTTAGGACAGCTCTGTGCCAGTGATGTCTGTCAGCAAGACCGTCCACAGTGAAGGGCAGAACTCCTAGTTCAGTACCAGTGACCCTTTCTGCCTTAGACGTATTTGCAAGTTTCCCAGCCCTTTTTGTAGCTGGGCATAGATTGCTGGCTGTGAGTCTGAGCTTGAAGAAGCAAAATATTTACAGGACCCACCAAGCCTTAAAAGCTGTCATGAGCAGTAAGGAAAGACACACATGTACTGCAGGCAATGAACCCAGACGCTGACGCTGCCAAGCGGGTGGAGCGCAGCAAAAGCAGCTTTCTGAAGGGAGGCAGCATCCTTGTTGAGCAGAGGCATGCTGGAAAGCGGATTGTCTCTGGATCTGGGGCCTTGAGAACTCGGCTAAGTTCACGGCTCTAGGTGCTCTGCACAGCTCTGCTTCCGAAGTTGAAGGTTTGCTAATGCTGGTTCCTTCGTGTAGAGTTTCTAGAGGCATGGCTATCCCTAGGATGTAGAAAGCAAGCTAGAAAGCTTTCCAGTGCTGCCACTGAGTCACCCATCCCCTTGCTGCCCCAAACTTCACCTCTGAGCAGATATAAAGCAGTGACATTATCTTGCAGCTGTATCTAGGCTGCACCCATCCTCCTGAGCAGAAATGCTGACATTCCTGTGTCTTTGCTGAGGCATCGATCTGTGCCATCAGCCAGAGCTTTGGCTCCTGGCTAGCTGCCCCCCTCCAGCAAGACTGCACGAATATTTTGGGTGCTTCTGTGGAGTCGAACTATTTGCATGAGCAAGGAGGGCAGTGGGAGGGGAGGAGAAGGCCATGACTCCCTGCTTAGAGAGGGTCAGTGCATCAGCTTTTACGTTCAAGAAGGTCACCATCTCTTAGCCTTGCCCTGTACTGCCTACAGCATCCATGCATTTGTGTCCATCAGAGAAGTGATTACTTCCGAAGTCACTAAGTAAATAGAAAAGAGATATTGGGCTTATGTTTCTTCTTACAGATTTCTGTTGGACTGGAATCGTTTTTTGTCTTGTGCGTGTGGGTACCTACGCATTGTTTCTGCCTTTCTCTAAGGTGAAATCATACTACCTTTTGCTACATTCTTTCCGTATCTTTTAAGACCCATTAAGCATGCACTAGCCTGTCCTTGGGAGTGATCAGGAGCTTGACCTGATCACCATCCTCTGAGAGTTTTGTTCTGCGATAGGATCACCTTGAGACCTCAGTCTTGGTGGTGGACTGTCTACAGCAATGAGAAATATGATGGCAAGCTTGGCTGATTCCCCGTTCCAGCTTCCAAACTCTCCTAAGGACGAAAAAGGCATGAGGATAGGGATGCTGGAGTCTTTTTGTTTTGGCTTCCCTGACTCATCTGTCTACTTCCTTGTGGTTCTTATAATAAGGAAAAGCTTTGAGGCCTTTGAGGTAAATTCCACCTGAAGAAATTTTAGAGCCTGTATTTGTGTGCTCCAAACTGTTGTCTCAGATAAGCCCTATTAAAACTATTGGAAAAGGCTTCAAGATCAGGAACTGTCAGTTGTCATATTGCCGTATTTTCTTAGCCCTGTCCCTGGATTTAGAAGATATTGAGTGTTCCTGTATTTATTGCAGCAAATAAATGCAGATGCTTCCATTTTAATGAGAAGTCCCATAAAGAGTTTGAGACCATCCCTTGATTTTATGAGATGATAAAATTGATAAGGATCTGATGGTTCAGGGCTTGTAAAAATACATTGGGTAAAAGGAGCTTTTAAGATTTCTGTACTATTCCCCACCACCTTCCCCCATCTGTCTTTTTTTTTCCTCCTTCTTCTGTGCTTCAAAGTCACTGTGTGTGACTGGAATATTACTGATCAATGGGACTGGAATACTATATATATTCCTTGCAAAATAGGCAATAGTAATAGGAGTTAGAGTGTGTGTCCAAACCTTCCAAATTCATGAGAAATGAACCTGAGAAACATGATCATTTCAGAGGAGAAAATATATATATATATATAGCTGCCTGAATGAGACTTCTTGCAGACTAAAAATAATACCTGACCATATGCATTTGCTTATAAATTCTTTGTCATTTCAAACCGTTAGCAGTCATACCTGACTAGGCAGTGGCACCAATTTCTACACGGTCTGGTGGTATCAGAGCTTTTCTGCAAGAAATTGCTGTGTACTCCGTCCTACGCCCCCCCGTGGCATTTCAGCGAATTGTGTCTATGGTTTCTACACAAATTCCATCTCCCAAAATGCTGGAGTCAAGAAATGCCTAACTTGGCCCTTGATCTTAGAACTCTCTTTAATGAGGGTGCAAAGATAATAAAGTCAATCGTAGCCTTCAGCATTCTGGGTAGGAACGAGGAGAATGTCTGGAGCCCATCCTTATTTAGTTTGTCTGCTCTGGAGCTGTATGTCCCAGCAGATGATAGGACTGTTTGTCAGCCCTCGCATGATGTTAAACCAAGAATGTGTACCCAAAGTACTAAAGATGCCTAATGTGTAGTGCTATATCCTATTTTTTTTTCCCACTTACATAAGGCTCATGGCAATACAGCTTTGCATATGGCAGCTGCATTGCAACATGACAAGAACCAGAAAGAAATCATCCAGTTGCTCCTTGACCACGGGGCTGATCCAAGCATCCGAAACTTAGACAACGATCAGCCAATCCACATGACTCCTTCTGGGAAGGCTGGGGACCAGGTATGTGATTGACATTGCGCCTACTTCCTAACACATCCTCATATTTTCCTGTGCTTGCAGGGAAAGAGTGAGGGCATGCTGTCATCAAAGCACATGATATGGGTTTAAGGTTGGAGTGATGTAGACTGGAGTTCCCTGCTTGAGTAAACCCATTGTGCAGTAGCATAAATTAGGAATTAACTGACACTCAAATTACTGGAATTAGCTGGTACTCAAAAAAAATCAGGGGAGGTATCAGTGCACAGCTCTTTTATAATGGGAAGAAATCTCAAGGGAAGCTCAAATTTCATGGCTACAGGTATGAGGCTGCTGGAGGTCATTATCTCTCATACGTATATATGTGTGTTTGTGTGCGTGTGTCAATATATAAATATATTATACACAGAGCTAATACATGCACTCATCTGCAGTTTCTCACAGTGCATTATAAACTTTTGCATTTCTTGGCAGATAAGGCATTTGCTGAAGAAAGGGAGAGTTGCATCTGCATTTGTCTCCTGTCGCCGCAATGCCAGATCCTAGGTTGCCTGCAGTTTCTGGCCTGACTTCAACTTCAGCTTACCGGTTGTACAAGGCCTTTAGAAAATCTGTGAGGATGGTTAATCAAAGTGTCTCTGTCTCCAGAGTCTTTAAACCACGGATGTGCGACAGTGTTTTTCAACCTGTGGACCATTAGCAATATGTCATAACATGAACTTTGAAATGATTGAAACCTTTATTATGAAAGAAATGATAATCCTCAAATGTACTCTTGTAAGCAGGAAGACAAACCAAATGAATGGCTGTTGCAGAAAGGTGCAATCAAACTTTCATTTCATGGCAATTGCAAAGTATGGTGGCAAGAGAATACAAGACAGTCCTTTATCTAAAGGAAGGCTGAGAAACGCTGCTCTAAAATATGCTAGAACTGTGCCTCTTGCTAGGTCCTATACAGAGGTATTGGGTAAAATGCTGATGCCTTTGGAGCGTGCAATTACCCTAAATGTTCCTGATAGCCTGAAAATGCCCAGGCAGCCTGAGGAGCTCTCCTTGTCAGGGCTGGATTGCACGTGAGTGAGCAGAAGCCTGTCTGATGACATCACCAACAGCATTTAGAAATAGATGAAAATATTTGAGTGGTGTGGGCCTGAGCAAAAGATTAGAGTGCAATGTGGAAAGTGCTCCCCTATTCCCTTACTTATGTTAGGGAATGTTTTAATAGATTCTTATTCTTTCTGTGAAATTATTTGTGAATTGCTGTGCAATCAAGCAACTGTAGTATCTCTGCTGGGTCAGTAGAAGTGAAAATAAATGCCTGAGTGGAGGGAAAGCTATGTTTTGACAGTCTGTTCACAGAAGGTGGCTCATTTCTAGTGGGCTTTCCGAATTTGCTGTTTTTTTCAGTGTTGCACAAGTTATTTTTTTTCTAACAGGACTGAACAAAATGGTGAAGGGCAGATCTTAAATCACTGCAGTAATTTCCTTGATCATCCACTGACTGACTCCTCAATGAAACTGCTGGGGTGTCTAAAGCACTTGTGAGTTTTGCAAACTTAGTCTATTTAAACAACTGTTTTAGCAGGCTGTAACAAAAGCTCTTAAGAAATGCATATAATGTGATTATAGATCTCTGTGGCTTTCTCAGCCCTCCTCCTTGCAGTTTTGCTACTGCTTCATACTGCATCATGCCTACAAACCTGCCAACATCATCTGACAAAAAAGTAGACTTGTGTTTGCATTTATTTGCATAAATTTGCATACATCTGGGGCACAGGCCAGCTAAAGCATGCACTTTCTTACTTTGAACCAATGCTATAACAAGTCCTGAATCGAGTGATACCTGCATTGGTGACTCATTCTGATACGTCAAGTCAAAAATGGTCAATAAATTATCTATTTCCTGAACTTTACAGAATTGTAAATCTGTGGCTAGCCCTTGGCATGAGATGCAGTAGGGAGCATCCCTTTTTTCATAAAGGCTTTTTGTCTTCTGGAAATATCTGTGGAATGCTCTTCTGCAGCAATGAAGAAAAGTACATGCTCTTTTCCTGAGTGATTTGTTTTTATTATTTAACCTGCCCATGTTTAGCTCAGAGTAGCATGATCAGGGATGTGTAAGCTGTAAGCATCATCATCTCCACAATTTTAGGGAAAATACCTCTCTGGGAAGGGATGGATGCAACTTCGCTCTGTACCCAGAGGTGAGAGATGAGTTTTGCAGAGGGAACATCCCGTGCCTGACCCAGAAAAGACTCTTTCTCATGACAGACGTCGTCTTGTTCGGGTTCCCAAAGCTCGTACATCAGAGGCCTTTTCTGAGGCCAGCCACAGCCAACAAACCGCTCATATTGTCTTTGGACAGGATCCATGAGACAGTTGGCCGCTGCTGCTTCCCCTTGCATGTAAAGCACCTTTCCCTTCCCTGTTAAGCCGACTGACTCCTGGCCTGCGTGTCAGAGAAATTCCTTTTTAAGGTCCAGAATGGATCTGCGTGTTAAGTCTTCTCTACTGGGATGAATTTCACTGATTTGAGTCCCATCTTATTTCACGGTTCATCTCTCAATATTTTTGTGATTGTTTCAGAGAGAATGTTCCTTGCATAACCTTAGCAGTATTGGCGGCCTGTGATACCCTTTATTTGCACAATTTATTCCTTCCTACCCATGGCTTTGGATAAGTTGCTAATAACAAAGGCTTGTTATCACTAAACAAATTTTCTGAAGTGGTACCATGGAAAAGTCACCAGTTGGTTGGTAAGGAAAATTCGTTTGATCAAATGCTCTGTATAACTGGAAAAGAACTTGAAATTAAGATATTAAGAACATATTAAGAACTTTATTTTCTCTGAAATTGTGTGTTACTTTTTTTTTTTTTTTGGTGGAGTGGGAAGGTATGCAGATGATGTTCTGCATACCTGTAAACAAACAACCTTCAACCTTTGAATAGTCCTGCTCTGTAACTTTCATCCCTTTTAATCATAGCCAGTCCAGGAGTTGTAAGCTTTTACTTACGCTGCATATGTCACCTGGAGCCACTGACACAGAACTGGAGACGAACAGCGTCTAAAAAGTGCTTGCAGTCCCTAGCCTAGGGAGCAGCAGAGCAACTGGAGAAAGAGCAGCACAGGAACAGAAGTGTTTATCATTCAAGATGGCTGTAAGGGCCAGAGGGCAGGGCAACCTACTTGAGAGGCTGTCAGAGTCCAGAGTCCCAGGGACAGAGAAGCATTTTCCTGGAATTACCCCAGTCCCATCAGGGCAGTTGATAATTTCAGAGCAGCTGGTCTCATGCAGCATGATGCCAAGAGCTGTTAAATTTCTGCTATCTTTAAAAGCACGTGGCGTGCTCCCATCACGGAACCTCAGCCATCTACAAGCCTGGAAGTCTGGGAGAGACTCCATGGAGGGAGAGCAGACCAGCCCTTTGGCGACAGCTTCCTCACCGGGTAGATGTTTTTTCTTTTTCCCAGAGTAAGGCAATATCAGAGAAGCAGGAATAGACATGTGATGGAGAGTTTACCAGTTTACCAGTTCAGTGTGTTCACCTCTAAACATTAGCCATGGGTTTGATGGCAGACAAAACGTCTCTCCTGCACACTACAGTCTCTGCTCGTACAAAGCAGTCCTCTTGGGGATTGCACTATAACCACTGATAATTGTACAGATATATGCCACTAAAACTGGAATCTGCTGCTGGCCTACTAAATTTAGATGTCTGTTTAACGTGGAGGTAATCTATGTGTTGTTGGACTGTATTACAGCTGTCATACTAGAGCTGACTTCCTTGCTGGCACTGTTTGTTTGGTACACTGGGGTACTATTAATCTTGTTGTAAAATGTGTTAACAAGAGCGTTGTTGATTCTTTAAGTTCAGGCCCACACCATCAAGCCCACAGGGAAGATGTGGTCATTCCATTTCCACTGGAAGCCTTGAATATCTTACCTCAGACTTATCATCCCGTGACTATTTAACTTTGGTGAAAATGTGCTCTGATGGGGGTGAAAGATGTGCCGGTGCTGCAAGAGGAGTAGCGATACCTCAGGGAGCTGTGCAGCAGGCTAGAGCTGAAGTTTAAACCCTTCAAGGTCTTGAGATAACCCCCAGTGAATGAAGTCTCTGATATCACGACTAAAATGATGACTGTGAGAGTGCATAGGGGTAATCACACCTTGTACTGCAGCAGAAATGACTGCTGCCTACCTTTTTTTTTTATAGACTCTATACGACCAAAAGTCTTCCTCACTGGGACCAGCTCTGAGACTAAATGTGTAACTAAGAAGTTGCATTATTTAAGGTTGTCAAATATTTTAAAGAAAACTTTGAAAAAAAGCAAAAGAATGAGTTGCCTGTTTGATGGAGAAACTGGCATTATATATGTATTTTTACGTCCAAATAAAAAAATGTTAATCTGTACCTGATTCTTCATAGATTTCAGAGTGAAGGAATATTGCGTGCTCTTTATTTTGGTATTATGGAGGGCACTTCCCCACTTATCAGCTGAGACACTTGTGTTTCTTGACATGTTCACAGCAACGTAGATAGATTCAGTGCCTAGCAAGAGGAAAACTTTTCAGTTTACTATGGAAGTCTCTGGAGGAGGTTAGCCTAGAGCTACTTACACTATGAGTTTGCCTTCGAAGATGCACTTTTTTAAGTTTGTGTTGGATTCAATATGTGAAATGCTTCTTTCTTTCTAGTCTGAGTGCTCAGCTTAGCAACTGACTGCTTGTCAGCCCTTCTCACTTAGGGCCGCTAAAAGGAGATGAGAGACAGTCTCAATAAGGCCTGGGTTTATGCAAGAAACAATGTCCTCTGGTGCTAAAACTTTCCCATTATACTGGAAGAAATTGCTCGGCTCCTATTACACCTCATTGTGCTGAAAGGTGGGGAAAACCTGGTATCAACTGCCCAAACTAGACAAAAGGTTTTGCAGCTACCTCAGTCTCTCTCTAAAGCTCTGCTTTCCCTGGGGAGCAGGTGTTGACCAGTAGCCAAAGAAGTTTTTTTTCTTTTTGATAGCACTGACCTCTGGGCAGGCCAGTGGAGGCTCTCTGGCACGTGATGCCTGGAGTAAGCACTGAGCTTGCCTGGAAAACAGCAGGCCTGTTGTGCACGGATTACTGGTGAGCATCAATGTGGCAGCACAAGCAAAACCAGTGGCTGAGAAGCAGCAAGTCCGTCTCAGAGGGAGCAGCTGCCCGGGTTCCTCTCTGGCTGGCATGCTGGGTACCAAGAGGCCTGTACGCTTCTCATCTGCTGCAAAGGGTGAGCGAGACTTTTCTTACTGCTGAGAAATTGCTCCCTGGGTAGGCTGCTGTGGGCTTCTCACCATCAGCTTGGTGCTGGCAGGGCCAGGATTGAGATCTTAGCAGGATAAACAAGCACTAACTCTCAGCGGCGCAGTAGAAATGAGCAGGCTTCAGTATGAGTACAAAATCATTTATTTGTCATAAAAAGAGCAGTTTTAGTGTCCAGTAAGTTATGTGCCTGGTAAGGTTACTTAAGGTTTCTTAAAAACAAAACAAAAAAAAAAAAAAAAATCACATGAGAAATTCTGACCTTACAAGACAGGAACACTAATGTAGTGATAATGGTGCATAGAAAACTTGTGAGTAGTGAAGAATAAACAGGGCTGTGATAGCAGTGGTACTTTGCATAGTTCATGGGCAATTAATCTTATTTGGATACAATGGACGTGTGAAACCTGCTGTTCCCATTAGCTGTAGCAGATGTCCCAGTTGCCAGCCCTTCGGAAGAAGTCGTCGGCCACAGCCACGGGCGGCAGGTAGTCCATGCAGTCCGTACCGGGGCAGGGGAAGTACTCCGGGACCCGCGTGTCCCCGTGCTCGGAGCCGCAGGACGCGCAGCAGCAGGCGGAGGCGGTGTACAGGGACGGGGTATGGCAGGACCACTCCTCGGCGGGGTAGCCGAAGGGCTTGGTGTCCAGAGCAGAGGGAGGGCTGTGGGGCACTGGGGTGAAAGGAGGCAGCTGAGGTGGGGAGCAGCTATAGTTTAGTGGGCTGGACAGATCGGTTGAGCTAGGGGATCCAGGAGCCTGGAGTTTGAGAGAAAGCAAAACAATGCGTTAGGATGCCTTTCTTGGAACTATATGGATACCTGGAGCACAGCCAGGATTTCCACACCCTTGCCCTTCTCAGGAAGGTCTGGCTACCCCGATTCAGGTTTTGGCGACCTAAAACCAGAAGGCATTTCCTAGGACATAAGCAGGAAATGGGAGTTTGTGAGTTTAGCAGCTGCTAACACTAACAGGGCTAATTCTTACAGGAAAGCTACAGGATCTGGAAGAGGGATATTCCATATTCTGCAGCCACTCTCCAGGTCCAGGCTTAGTTTTCTTCTGCTCCTGATGGAGAGGAAACAGAATATGGTGCTAGAGACCGAGTCCTAGCAAGCAGCCTGAGTTGCGGTGGGTCTTCCTCAATACCTCTAAAAGCAACCAGGTTTCCCAATCAGCTTGCTGCTGTTTTGCCCCAAGAAGTGACTCCCTTCCCCAATTCCCACCGAGCGTGTCTGCAGCTGCTCCTGGGGGATACAAAGCTTACCAGGCTCTGGTTAAAGCAGTGTGGGACTGGCTGGAAGGAGTCAGAGATGTAGTGTGAGGATGTCTGGAGAGCACTGAGGGCTGTGTCTGAGGATGCCTCTGTCTGAAGGTAGGAATCTACCAGCTGCTCCAAATAGCTAGGGCTTTCTTCGCAGGAGAGGCAGTCTGAAAACTGCCGTGATGGGCAATAGCTGGGAGCAGAGGAGATGGATTCTGCATCAAAAGGTGCTAGGAGAGAAGATAAACCAGCAAGCAGCAGGTTATTCCATGTATGTCCCCACAACAGGCAGATATTTCCCCAGGGCATATTTTAGTACTCTCACGTGCTCAGCATCCTCACAAATTCAAAAAGAGGAAAAGGTCCTTCAAGTTCAGCCTGGATTTTCTGGAGGAGCAGGAAACAGGAGGAAGATGCTCAAAAGATCCCAAATGACTTGGGAAGTTTAAGTTCCCTTGGAAACCTCAGAGGTCTTTAAATATTGCTAGAAATTCTTGCTCCAGGCATTTTGGATAGGGATCTGCTGGTTTGCAGGTTTGAGGGGAAAGTGCTTATCTGGAAGAGGGGAGGAAGTGAGAAGCACATACCCAAAATACATTAATAGATGAAGACTTGCCCACCAGAAAGACCTTTAGTCTGTCTCATACTTCTGTATTAACATAAGCAAATTGATTTTCAGATATTGATAATTTAATCATTTCCTTGTATTTACAATGTATATTCACACCTGCCAAACCCTTCAGATCTCTCTGCTTTTGACTGCAGAACGATTGAAGGATCTGAAAAGCCCGAAAGTGCTGTTTCTTCCCCCACCCCCACTACTCCTTTCCTTAAATATTCACGTGCATGAGGAAGAAGCTGTGTGGGCTGCTGAAAAACTGACACTCCTCTTGCTCCTGTGAGCTCTGCCAGAGGAGAGCACGAACTGCCAACTCCACTGGAGACAGGAGCGCAGCCACACGCTTCAAGGTGATCTCACTCTGCAGCACCATTTGGATCCTGAGACTGAGCCCTGGGGAAGGCAAAGCCGGCAGAACTATTCCCAGGGAATGAGCATCCCTTCCTGAAAGGGCAGTTGCTCCTTGCTGTGGGAAAAACGGACTGCGAATGGGAGGATGTGAGCATGCTCTCGCAGAGGGTAAAATGTACCCTGCTGGCCTCACGACACCCTCATCTGCATTTTGCGGGCTCTGTTTGGGCGCTGATTGGCTGCATTTGTAGTTATTTGCCAGTGCTTGCCTCACCAAGGGCTGGAAGGACTCTGGGCTGTGGGAATAGTTAGGAAGGCGGAGGGATAAGACATGGTATCATAGGCTTTGTACCTGGGTGTGGAGGAGACACAGAGTCTGAAAACTGGATGCTGCTGCTGCTGCCCAGAGAAACCTGACCAAAAACAAGTGAAGAGTAAGGTAAGTAGAGCGTTTCTCTGCATGCTGAGGTAAGTCAAGATTTTGCTTCAACCTTGTCTGCGTAAACACTTCACGGATGTGAAAGCCTCTGAGAAGCTGGGCTGTGACTTGGACCTACCTGTGCAACGTGGTTGTTCTCTAAGCCTTAGCAGGGCCCCGGCACTGCAGGGCATGGCACCGACCCGCTTTAAAGCCCTCAGTATATCATTTTGTGAGTGTACGCCTTTCAGTGCGCTGTTACTGTTATTTCTGTAGTGTTGTTGCTGCCTCTGAACCTGTAGTCGTGTTTTAACATGTGCTAATTCCCAGGAGCATGGATTGCACAGAGGAGGCATCCCAAAGCACTTGTAGGGATAGATATAATTAAGAAGCAGAGGTTAACGAACGGCTGCCTTGAAACGGTGGCTACAGGCAGTTGCAGGTATCCCTATGTCTGGGCATGCGAAGGGCTTGTTCTACTGGTGCTGGTGTCAGTTCAGTGACTCTGACACCGCTCACGGCTCTAGCACAGCTTCATGGTGCATGAAAATGGAGTGTTTTGTTTCCTGAGGAAAAGCAGAGAGCCTAAGCAGATGGGGAAATACAAGAACCTGGTCATCTGGGAGGGACATCCACCCCAAGATTTCCCCAAGGAAATCTACCCACCAAAAAGTGTGAAGGTCACCTCCTGTGATAGCAGCTTACTAGTTTTTCCTGCATGGGCAAAAGGAGCACTGTGTAACCTCAGAGCAGGGAGCAAAAACCAGATCCATGCTGATGAGCAGTTTGTACAATCAGCTGTCTCGAGGCACAGGAAGTGGGAAATAAAATCTGAAAATCACCCAGAGCTGTAATGTCATGACCCGAGAAGCAATAATGATTTACGATCCTCCTTATGCAAATGCCTGGGGTGGCTGAGGCTGGAAGGCTCTCACAGAAACTGGAGTGTTTTGTGTGTGTGTATGTAGGAATTACATGCAAGAAGTCTGTTCCCTTTCCTTTGGAGGAGGTGGAGCTAGAAGCTGCCCTGCTGCTACGGAACCATGTTCAAATTCAAATTCAGCCAAGCAGTTGAGTGTATCCCCGTTCTGTGCTAAGGACCTGCTCCGGCCCCAACAGGGCAGGACGCAGTCCTCTTTTGGGGATATTTTCCTATGCCTGGTTTCCTCCCTTTCTGCCAGCCAGGTCCCATGAACTGATGCTTGTCCTAAATCCCTAAACCCTTTCCACTCCCTTTTCTTGCAGGTGCAATGACCATGAAGACTGATAGTTAAGACTTCATGGGAGGACACGTATGTTCACTATTGTAGAAGGAAGAGGTCTGGGAAACTTTAATGCAGCAGGAATTTTGCTCTGGTTGTTCCCCAGAGCCACCCAAGGTGAGCTGGAGAGGATACATCCTTCAGCTGATGCTGGGATTTAAGCAGGGAGATAGGCCTGGCTTGTTTGTCCAATATAATGGTACTGGAGGTGTTCTGCTAACTATAAGCTGGGCTGACACTTCTCCACGCGGGCCCTCCTCTGGGTGAGTGACGTTTCTGGAGCATCATCTGCTTTCTCCCTGCATTAGTTGGGCCAGACTATCACCGCCACAGAGCACTGCCACAGCTATCCTGCCTGACCCTTCTTCTCCCCCATCTTCAAAGCCTATGTGCTCAGACCCAAGCGCTCTCCTTGGCCCGAGGGTTGCACCTGATAACAGGGACTAAGGGAAAGAGGCAAAGAGGAGCCAAAGGTTTTTCCTTACCATGGTACTAGTTGCTGCTTGGCGTGCTCTTCTCTGCTGCAGGAGCTCCTTAACTGTGATCTTCACTCTAACGCCTTGGTACACCTTGGGCTTTCCTGAAAGAAGGAGCAGAGAAACACTTCTCAACGTGGGATGCGTGGAGAGCATAGAGCAACACCTGTGCACGCAGGTAGGCTCTGCATGGAGTCTGCTTAGAGTTAACAGGTCGTTAACTGGTCACTGTAAGTCACTTATAATCACTGTGTCCAGCAGCTTTAGCACTTGCTATTCAAGCCTGCCACAAGCATGAAAGATGTCACGCCTGACATTTGTGAAAAAGTTGGTGATGATCCAAATTTATATCCATTAATCATGTTGTATTCTTTTTTTTTCTTTTTTTCCTTCCAGATGTCCTAATACCCCGTTCCATCTGGTGCCTCTGCCAAATTAATTTAAATTCCTATTGTATTTGCCAGAAAATAGATGAGGAACCACATCACCTGGCAGATGAAGAGCAGGAATAACACAATGTAAATATGCAAGGTAGTCTTTCAGACTAAAATAAAACACAAATAAAGTGTCTGCTTTCGTGATTCACTTTCGACCAAACCTAGATTATCTCTTCATTTGGCCCCTTCTGTAGAGCTCCTGATTGTTTCAAATAAACTTCTTTCTGTCTTTAACCCAGCAGCAAAAAATCACCAGCCACTACCTAGTGAGGGACTCGGTACAGGAAATGGTAAAGAATTTGCCTGTTCTGACCAGCCACTTTCACTTACGGTGCTTTTGCTACTCTAGTTAGAGCATTCCGGAATCCAGTTTTTATCCAGACTTGCTGTTATTTGCATCCAGTACCTGTGCTTACAGCCAGGGGCGAGGTCTCCTTCCTGCGCTGGCCGCCCAGGGCAGCGGGGGTTGTAGCACAGGGCTGGCAGGAGCAGCTTCCTGGCCAGCTTGCCAAAGAAATCCCGTGCCCCGGGACAAGGTCCTCTTCCACTGCAGCCTTGCTGCCTCGTGGGCTGCCGTGGGGCATGTGCCCCTCCTGCATGACCGCCCTGAGCCCACCTGGGGCCAGCAAGGCGTGCAGGCTGAGGAGATGTCAAGGGTGGACAGAGCCCTTGGGAAAAGCAGCCTGCCAGGCTGGGACTGCCTTGCCAGGGGGCTTCCCTGAGCTGTGCTCTCAGCAGCCGGGGCTTACTCATCTCTTATGTGCTGTTTGCACATAGCGGAACTGAGTGTAAAGGACATAGAGGTAGGGAAAGAGCTGGTAGCTCCTTTTGCACAGTTAGCTGCAAACCACCTTATAACTCTCCTTTGCACGGGCAGAAGGACAGGGTGAGGGTATCCCCCACCCTCTTCTCTAATGCAGCTGAGCAGGGGCTGTATTTATAACCCTGGGGCTGGCAGAGCATCCTGTGTGCTAGCTCGGAAGAGGCCCCGGTGGGGTCTGCAGGAGGTGATGAGGGCAGGGCTGCTGCTGCTGCTGCTGCTCTCCCTTCTGAGCAGCCCAGCCAGGGGCAAGGGCAGCAGTGGGCAGGGGAGCAGGGTGGTGAGGGCAGGGTGAGGGAGTGGAGGGTAAGGGGCAAGGTGATGGGGGTCAGCGTTGCGGGACAGTGACGGGCTGGGGGGGTCCGGGCACAGCCCGTGGGCGCGGGGCCGGGCGGCGCGTGCCCCGCCGCGAGTCGCGGTGATGGGCGCGGGGCCGCGGCGGGAGCTCCGCTCCGCTCCGCTG